GCGAGGCACAGCGAAAATACAAACAGGACCGATTAACTGGCTGTGTGTTTCCTCTATCTTTCCTCAACTGGATGGATGATTCCTCTATCTTGCCTTAAGGTTAAGGTCAAGGTCATATTCGGACGTAAAATCTTCCGCGCTTTCCACTTCTGGAGTAAAAAATAAGGGGTTCCGTTAAAAAAAAATCGACTTGACCTTAAAATGATCTTGAAGGTCGAGGTCAAGGTCAATGTCAAGGTCACATGCGTGCGTGAAATCTTCCTCTGTTTCCATTTCCGTGGTAAAAAATGAGGGGTTCCATTAAAAAAATCGACTTGATATTAAAATGACCTTGAAGGTAGCGGTGAAGGTCAAGGTCAAGGTCATATTCGGACGTAAAATCTTCCGCTCTTTCCACTTCCGGGTTAAAAAATAAGGGGTTCTATTTGAAAAAATTGACTTGATATTGAAATGACCTTGAAGGTCATCGTCAAGGTCAAGGTCAAAGTCACCATAAGTTAGCCTTGTCTGTACCCTACAACTTTTGTATAAACAAATTTCCTCCAAAATGCTTACCATCCGAGATATTCCTATCCGTTATTTAAAATGGGACACCCTATATGTTCTTTTTTATATTTTTATTCATATTAATATGTAATAATTGCCTAGTTTACATCGTGCCCTTGATATATATGCTAACTAGTAACTTTCTATTAAATTATTTTAATTTCAGTGATGTATTCAAAGAATAATGTACTAAATTGGTACAATATGCATCAAAATAATTAATTAAATACACATATCGTATATATGTTTACACGTATCGCCGAAATTAAGATCATTCAATAGAAAGTTACTAGTTAGTACCTGTATCAAGTGCATGATGTAAACTAGGCCAATATAGCAGTCATAAAGTGCACTTGGTGTACAAAATCTTTATGCATACAAGAATTTTTTTTTAATATCATTTCTGTAAACAATACATAGAATAAAAACTAAAAAAATTGACATAGGTAAACAGTAACATAACAATAAAAAGAATGGAAAAATTGTAAAAACACAAAAAAAACCATAAACATAAAAAAAATCAAATTATATTTAATAGGGCTCTGGAAATTCAAACAATAATAAATATTAATTAGCAGACAATGAAAGCATACACAGCGCGGTACTTGGAGCAAAAAAAAACAAAATGGGGCCTCTCGTCATATCCTCGTCGATTATTCCTGACAAAGAACGAGATAAACTTGTTTCTCTTTCAGCAGGTCGCCATATTGGGTTTGCCATTTTAAATTCTATATTTTTTTATACTGGATTTGCTTCCAGGAAACATGAAAGGCTCTTATCATCTTTAAAATTCAGAAGTAGCTGTAACAGAGTGAGCTAAAATGCAAGAAATTAAGTATTCGTGCTTATCACTATACGAATAGTTTGCACCCTTAAACCTGTACCATTGCCGATATAAAAAAAATACGTGTCTATTATTTTCGTCTGCTCTACAAATGTACCAAGTTTTAAATTCGACAAGTCGCGGAAAGGTAGATCTACTTGTGAGTGTCGTTGGTGGATATTCAATGGAGGAGTTATTTCAAGTTATTATTGTTATTATTAATTTTGATTCGCGCAAATATTATGTTTTATATTCAAATTAGGAAGTTAGAATTTTATTTAGAATTTTATATAACAAATTAATTAAAACACAAACAAATTTGGAACAATATTATTTAATATTTTAGAAATAATAAACATTCAACATATAAACGACAATTTTTCTGCTGTATTCTATTTTATAATTGTAGACATTAAATCCAAGTTTTCTATTTAGGTCCGATTGTACCAACGTTACTTCGATTTTAAGCGAGACTTAAAACTCCCTTTCTCTCTTTTTAAAGCCGAGAGAGAGAGAGAGAGAGAGAGAGAGAGAGAGAGAGGCGGAGATGAAGAAAGTTTTAAGCCTCGCTTAAAGTTAAAATAACGTTGATGCCATTAGGCCTTAGTAACTTATCTTATTGCATCTTTAAGGGAGAGTTTATACCCAAACTTTTCTTTTTAACATATCACAAACATCAATTCAGGGATGGGAAAGTTACTTTTAAAGCTACCTTTAAGTTACTTTTTATTTAGAAATTGAGTACAATAAAAAAATTAAGATATTTTATTTCATGTACCATATTTTATCATTTGCTTCAACTTTGTATTATTATTTGTAATTTATTGTACTCAATTTCTAAATGAAAAGTACTTTAAAGTAATTTTAAAAGTAACTCTTTTCCATCCCTGAATATCATTTTATAAAATTATTAATTTATTAGTGCTTCATTAAATTATTAATCTAATTTTCAATATCTCTGCACTCGCGTTTTCAAAGGTTCATCTAAACTGATCACAAAAGTCATCGTTATCAACATAGTTCTGTGCATGTACGGGAAATATTTCTTATTTCTTTCTTTTTTCATGATCCTCTTTTTTTAATAAAAGAATGACAAAAATTCTAATTTAATTCTGACATTGCAGGGAGTTTCAGTTTTTGAGGATATATTAAATTCCAAGATAATTCCAGAATTCAAAGACATTCGAAGATTGCTGGACACAATGCTTCTCACTCTTGTTTTGACAAAACTGCTTAAGACCAGATTCTGTTATTGGGTCTCTAGTATATATTAAATAATTTTAATAGATTTTTAAATATAAATTAACATAAATCTCATAATAGATTATTTTCGCGTACCACTTAAATAAGATTAATAATTATCCGGTCAAAAAAGAATCAACTCTCTTTAATTCTGTACTGTACGTAAAATAATAAAAACTTAATATTGAAAAGTGCAAAGGTCACATTTAAACCTTTAGACAGCGAAAATATATAAAAAGAAATGGGAATATATCGTACTTGATGTAAAGTTCTTACGACGTCTAATCCGGGTACTCTCGGTGATGGTAAGGTGCTCCTAAAGAGCCTCTGAAGAGATGGTTGGTCAGCTTCCATGCCTCCACCACCCCACCTAACGTTTTTGAGTAGATTCTACTTTTGCCACGGTTCATGCCGAATTCGCAGTTGCCCTTTGTTCTTTTTTTTTCTTCGGCAAGATCCTTGCTTTTCAACAGTAAAATAGTTTTTATTCGATTCAGTTAAATCTCTTCATATCTTGATCTATTTTGCTGGAAAATATGACATTAATTTTTCAAGAGATTGATCATTATTAATATTAAGTAATAACCCTTAATACACACCTTTGTGTCATTCGTGTCCTGCGCATTTCTTTTCTTTGAAATACTAAAAGTACCTGGTCAATTACCGGTCTTCCTTCTATTCCTAAAAAAAGTTTGGCATCTAGAGAACATGTTTTATGCGTTGCTGGCCTCAATTCGTGCGTATCTTTTGACTAGAATAACTCTGAAGTTTATCTCTGGGTTAGGAATGACCCATTGTGTGTATAGAGTGTACATTTTTTATAATTAAAAAAATTTTAATTTTTTTCTTTATTTTGAGCTAATTCTCGTTCGTATTGCGAGAATATTTCGCCAATTATTAAAAAAAGGATTTAACCCTACAACATATTAGCCCTTAGTAAACACATTGGTTTGTATAGCATCCTTATGTTAAATGTTAATTGTCTAATATTATGTATGTTATGTTGTCTGTAACGTTATAAAGAACATTTTCCTAATAAATTATAAGTTTTTTAACACAATAGCGATAATAAAATGCATTGTTTAAAATGTAAATGCAATATAATATCTTCAATTTATAGCCATTCATGCATATTAAACAAAATACCATTTTGAGATTACTAAATAATTAAATTTTTTGAATAACCAACACTTGAACTATTTTTTTCTTTTGTAGTTTGGAATGTCAACTTTAAGATATTGAAATATATTTTTCCTTTAAACATTTTTGTTTCAGTTTTACATTTTTGTATGAAAAATTGCATTTTCCTCATTTTGTTAACTATATTTAGTTATAACAATTTATATACAATTTGTTATAAGTATACAATCATCCTAAAGATGTCAAAATATATTTAAAAATTATTTAATAATTTTTATATACTTGTAAAAGTGATGAAAATTAATCCAGAACACAAATCACTCAACATATGTAATAAGAGAGCCAAAAACTAAAATGTATACTAAGGATTAACTATTTTTCATATCGTTTTTTCTTTTTACATTTTTTAAGTAATGTTTTTCACGCATTAAATGTCAATTTTTTTATCTCTTAAGTATTAGTTTAAATGTTAATATTTTAATTTATCTTACAAATAACCCAAACATTTGTCCTAAAAGATGTTTTCCTAAAAAACTTTTATGTTTATGACATATTCTTTACAAGTAATTCTTTATGACTTATATTCTTTATAAGTAAACAATTTAAATATAAATATTATTGTGATTAGCATAAAAATATTTACCATTTATTGATAAAAAATATTTACAAATGTAATCTCAGAGATTGAGACATCTTATAAGATATCATAAAGACGTCCTAGTATTCAAGAGACATTTTTTGGAAGTATAAGAATGATGTCTTTAAGATGTCTTATGCATTGATTTATGGTGTCCTAAAGACATTATCCTTATAATGTGTTACAGACTTGTCCCTTATAACATTTTACAGAATTATCTTTATGACGTCTTACAGACATTGTCCTTATGACATCTTACAGACATTAACCTTCAGACTTGCTTCAGATATTTGTCTAAAAAACAAAAATAAAAATTACTGATACGGAAATGCATTGACAAGAAGAAATATACAAAGCAGAAGTTGGAATTACTTGATAAATCAGTATGTGAATATCGTACTTAATACATATCTTCAATAACAATATATATATATATATATATATATATATATACATACACACAATTTTATATACATATATATATAATTGTGACAGATAAACTATTATTGAAAATGTGTATTAATATTCACATACTAATTTGGCAGGTAATTCCAATTTCTGCTTTGTATGCTTTCTCTTGTCAATGTATTTCAAAACAGCTTTGCATAATTGTATTGTCTAGTTCAAAATGTCTTTTGGATATCTTTCAGACATGTGTGTTGTCTGGGATATAAATCAATTAACAAAAATTTTACATTGCTGAAAAAAGTAAAATATTTGAAAAAGTTTTTCACGTGAGTCTTTTCTTAAAAGCAACAATATGTTGAATGTACAATTTTAATATCTGAAATTTTCTTGCGAAATTCAACACTAAAGATAAAATTGAGAAATAAAATGTTTTACAGAAACTATATATTTATTAAATTTTTAACTGGTTTTTCAATCCATAAAACATCAAAACTAAATTATTGTTTCACAGGCCAATATCACATTCTATTTAGAAAAGCAAAAAATGATAGCTACAAATCAATACAAAAAAAGCAAAATCAATGTTAAGAAAGAACCAAAGTATTATAGCTGTGACATTAAACTGACAAGTAAAATCAATGAGTTAGTAAAATTAATTAGTTTTTAGAAAATATTATATCAGAGATTAACAATTTTTTATATACATGTATGTAAGTATACAGAAAAAGAGAAAAATTTATCAATGTGTTATTCTATTATTTTGTCAGTAGTCTATGTCGCATTTTTTAGCCAGAAATGCACCTAACTTCTTAAAGAATTACTCATTACATGAATAAAATCGCCATAAGTAATTTATTTACGAACGCTCACCCTTGTTTTAAAAAAACTCGGTCGAATTTGTATTCTTGAAGATATCGGTGATTTAACAAAACAATTTTTCGTCGACGGAATATTAATCAAGGACTTATCTCGGATGTGTTGATCGCAAATTACTGAAAAATTCTTTAAAAATCCAAGGTTATAAATACCAAGTAACTTCACATACTTCGTCGATGTCAATACGAACAATGAAGTGCGTTTTTTAGATTACGTGCATCGATAAAAGGCTCGATTTTACCGTCGCGAAACAATCCTTTAACATTTTTCACGGTACGATCGGTTACACTTCTGTGAAAAACATCGAAATATTTTTGTAGCCAAATAAGATAAAATCATAGTCATTAAGTCAAGACATCGTCATGGAAAACTGATGACAACAGTTAACAGTGTCAGAGATAATTGTGTTAATGACAGTACTGACGATAGCGCAGAGAGTTATGGAGATAGTGGCAACGGCGAAGATTCAACTGTTCGCTCGCAGTAGTTATATCGGTGACAATGAGATCGAGAGCATGCGTGAGGAAAATACTCGGCGAGGAGATCCAAGGAACGGTCGAGTGGGCTGAGGGCACACAGAGTCGACGAAAATGTTCGATCGTGATATAAGTCGTTATCCGCTTCGGCCACAATCGATCGTACGAAGAACAGTCACACATTCTCTCGCCGCTGGACACGCTATGTTGCTCGCAATACGAGATGTATACGAGAAATGCCGGACATCATAGATGACATCCCAATAAATGTCATTAGCACTGACAGAACTGTCACAGACACTCACACGATGCAGACGACAGAATGACGTAATGCGACGCTTCGTGCCAGGAGTACCAACTTTTGTGCCAGGAGCTACAAACTCTTAAGGCCCGTCTACAATAGACGGAGTAAGAAGTAAGAGTAAGAAATTGACCAATCACAGTCGATTATTCTTCTCACATTCGATTGTGATTGGTCAATTTCTTACTCTCACTTCTTATGTATTGTAGACGGGCCTTTAGAGTGCCGTCACCTGCGTAAGGGTGGAGTCCCATGAAGCGTATTTGCCGCGTATTGCGTAACCGCGTAACCAATCAATAATCAGTAAAACACGAAATCACAACAGCGGATCGCTTCTGATTGGTTACGCGGTTACGCGATACTCGGTAAATACACCTCATGGGACTCCAGCCTAATAGCGTTTTCGGCCCGATCGGGTTTGCACCAACCTGGGTTGGATTAATCTTTCCTATTGGTTGATGTAACACGCTCTACCAATAGGAGAG